TCAGATTGACAACGCGTTCGGGTTATAGCAAAACCTTGTCAATTAATAAACACTTATAAAATCAATAACACATCCTCTTGAGTTTTATAATGAAATACCTACGTAATTAGCAAATGTTCACGATTGACTTCCACGGTGAGATAATAACATCATGGAATAAAAATTAAGCCCGCAAAATTAAAATTTACGTAATAACTGTAGCATGCACAGAAACGATATCAAGATTGATTTATTTCTGTGGTAGCATGTCTTGTGAGTCTGCGCGGGTAGGTACCACGCTGCCTATTTCTGCCGTGAAGCAGTAATGCGTTTCTGTTTGAAGGATGAAGAGGAGACAACCACAAAGCAATCGCTTTTATACTATACTATTAACGCAGTACTTAAAGTAACGTAAAATAAATTACTGGTAAGTGAGTATCGTTCAAAATTTATTGAAACCTTTAGACTACAATATGAGACAGTGATAAATTTTATCCGTAACGATTTGTTTGGGATATTAAATAAATTAATTGCTTCGAATAAATAAACGTTGGTATAGCAATTCGAAGCAGAACTTTCATGTACATTATAGAAAAAACGTTTTGATATATGAGATCTTTCATATCACGTACGCTTTTGTATTTATCGAATTTTTTTCTCATCTCTGAAAATAAGTGGATGTTACATGTCGACTACAAATTTTATACTTTAGTAAAATATGAATTAAATTTAGGAATTATTTGAGATGATCCCATCATGTCGTTTTTACTATCGCATCGCCCGCTACCGGAGTAGAGTTCATCCACACTACTTGGAGCCACTGCGGTCATCCACATTGCGTTTCCAGAGATCTTTTTTGCCACGTACCATTCGGCTTTGGAATGAACTCCCCTCCACGGTGTTTTCCGAGCGCTATGACATGTCCTTCTTTAAACGAGGCTTGTGGAGATTATTAAATTGTAAATAATTGTGTACTTCCTGGTCTCAATCACCACATATCTAAATCGCACCAATATATATTTTGATTTCATATTTATATAGTTCGTTTAAAGTCAACTATTGACTAATTTCAAATACTAATCAACATGTACATGTACAATAGTGGTAGGACCTCTTGTGAGTCCGCACGGGTAGGTACCACCACCACGCGTATTTCCGCCGTGAAGCAGTAATGCGTTTCGGTTTGAAGGGTGGGGTAGCCGTTGTAACTATAAGTATACTGAGACGTTGCAACTCATGTGTCGAAGTGGGTGGCGCATTTACGTTGTAGATGTGTATGGGCTCCAGCAACCACTTAACACCAGGTGGGCTGTGAGCTCCTCCACCCATCTAAGCAATAAAAAAAACAAAATGTGTGCAATTCACACGTGGTAGAAGTGAAACCTTCCAAAATTAAAATACAATTATCCTAAACGTCTTAAGTATATGTAAAATTAGTAAATAATTGTAAGGTAGCGCCCTCTGTGAAATGATATTTTAATTTCACGTATAATCCTAAATTAAAATTCACTACAAGAGCTTTCATACACACGTTAGTATTAAAAAATCTCACAGATGGCGCTGTATTAAATAGTATGTATATTTCTGTCTCATTCTTTGCTGGCTTCATCGTACACATTTTTGTATTTGTGTCTCTTACCTGTCGTTTTTTCCGACATCCGGTTTGAAATCACAACGATTCTAAAGAAGTTTTCACTTCAAAAAAGTTCGAAACAGCTGAAGTGTACAACGATGTATCCTCCGCCGTAGAAGAGTTTATCTGCTACTTAAATTCAAGGAAAGAGGGCAAAGGAAAAACGTGATTATTCTCGACTAGGCTCAGTAAAAAAGTTTCCTATCCTGAAAATTATATTAACTTTATACAAAAGAGTTTGTTGTGCTTTTTTCCTTTGACAAAAGATTATCTCAGAAAATACTTTTAGATCTGAATTTATGTGGACGTAAGAAACGTTTTTTAGTTGACTGTAAATTCGAATTACATAAGAGAGAACAAATCGTTTTAATATGAATATAATTTTATTCGAACTAGTGGTCCCCCGGTAGTCGAAATACGACTATAATTAATTGGAATTGTAAGTTTGTACACTATTATGATTGTATTTTATACTTCTATAATCACAAATTTCGCCAAGACTACACTATAAAAAAATATTAATAAAGACAAACAATATTTAATCTTTTCTCAATTTGACCACAGCATGACTATGCATGCGTGTGTGTGTCAAATACATGGTATGTAGTTTGTGTAATGTTTTCTTGATTATTTTAATGTATCTTTTATGCATTATTTTTAAAAAATTTAGCATTGTGCACTTCTTCTCTATATTCTCTATAAGTGTGGAAAATTTCATACTCCTCCGTCCGCGCAATTTTCGTAAAAAGGGATACAAAGTTTTTGCTTCACGTATTAATATGTAGATAATTCTGAAAGCGTCATAAAAAAATGGCGACATGTCAACAAAACAGCTGATTGGTTTTCGATTGCAATGGATTTTTAAGTAACCAGCTTTATTTATAATGAAAGGAATTTTTAAGCACCATGGTACAAAACGATTTCCCTACTTTAACTTAACTGATTCTGAAATCTGACCGATGAAAACTAGGAAAACGTTAATATTCTGTAAGTCTACTACCTCTTATTATCTTCGGACCTAATTATCCACCGGTCGATGGAAAACAACCGTAGCGGAATGAGGTAACGTTTATCAAATCGTTTCCTAATTAAATACAAAACATTCGAAGAATCCATTAAGAGTAAGGGAATATGCAACAACATCCAGAATTTATACCAAAATAATGGACGTTTTTTTTTATTTTCTTTTTATTTTTGCTTTGATAGGTGGACGAGCTCACAGCTGACCTGGTGTTAAGCGGTTACTGGAGCCCATAGACATCCACAACGTAAATGCGCCACCCACCCTGAGATATAAGTTCTAAGGTCTCAAGTATAGTTACAGCGGCTGCCCCACCCTTCAAACTGAAACGAATTACTGCTTCGCGGCAGAAATAGGCAGGGTGGTGGTACCCATCCGCGCGGACTCACAAGAGGTCTTACCACCAGTAAAAACGTGACTTATCAGACGTGTCAGAGATTAACGATTTTGTGAAGCGAATATAAGAATTTTTTATATCTAATGCTCGGGGATTTTCCTTTGATACTTTGGCATTAAATATATTATGTATTATAATAAATCGAATGAGACCCGTATTGGAAATAATCGTGTCATAATAATATACCTATATTTCTCAGAATGTCTTATTAAGAAGGTTTGTTTGAAAAATATCCCTTTAATTAGTGCGAAAATATCACACTAATATTATTATATACAGAGACAATAATATCATTAGAATATTAGTTAATATTTAATGTTCTTAGAAAATCGTCGAATATTTAGTTTGGACGACAATTGAATATTTTGTTTTTAGCTCGTCGCTCGCTCTAGCCGTGTGTTATACCTTGATCACCCGACTCTGGATTTCGCTTATCCGTTTCTGGTAGAAGCGGCTTTGTTTACAAAGGGTCGAGATAAAACAGAATCAGAGGATGTCATTTCATAGTTTTTGTTGCGTGAATTCCGATAGTCTAGTCTGAATTATTTTACGTATACCTACCTAGAGACCAGAGTACAGTTTTGGTTTGGATGATACGGAAAGGACGGATGTTTGTCGAGGGTGTAGTTTTGGATCACACAATCGAAATCATCCGATATTCTAAAAGAAGATATGGAGAGGGTAGACTTAAGAAAGTTACGCAATACATTACTACTATACATAGTCCTAGCGAATTCAAAAGCCTTGTAGATACAACGTAACTTTAGATACAAAAGCCATAGACAATGATAAAAAAGTACTAGATATATAAAGTAAAATATATAATTAAAATTACTTCTACGGTATATCTTGTAGCATTGTTTTTGTCATTATATTATTTCGACGTTTCAAATACTTTCCTAATATAATGGCAATAAAACGCGAAATCAAACCGTTAAGACTAGTCTCAATTGAGTAATGAATAGCTATAAGGTCGAGGACTAAGTTTTTTTTTATTGCTTAGATGATTGGACGAGCTCACAGTCCACCTGGTGTTAAGTGGTTACTGGAGCCCATAGACATCCACAACGTAAATGCGCCACCCACCTTGAGATATAAGTTCAAAGGTCTCAAGTATAGTTATAAGTGTGATTGAGTTATGTTGAATTATTTTGATTTGACTTTTTGTTAATAAAAAATAAATTTATAAAAAAAAAAATAAAAAAAAAAAGTGTGATTAAATAACTATTTTATAGTTTTGTTAAATAGCGCTCTTATAAATACTTTTTTTATTTAAATATTGAATAGAAGCCTAGATTGAGCGGACAAAGTAACTTACAATGCACAAACAAGCCCGCTACGGTGAATAGGATTATTTTATCCCAATCTTTATACTCATTACAAGGGTAATTGCATAAACAAGTTCGTTCAAGTTAGAAAATAGCCTCTAAGTTCGGGTAACTCCAACTTAATAGAAAAGTTTCCAGGGGATTACTACTCGGGGATTTTAATAGTGAGCTTTTGCTTTTGTTTGAGCTTTTTAAAGAATAGAACTAAAGTTTTCGAAACCGTGATGAGATTTTCATTAAGTTTTTAAAATTTTTCATACTTAAGGGACAATATTAAAAACGAATTTATCATCTCTTTTATGTAATCTTTATGTAAGAAAACAATTTTCAAGCCAATCCTAAATAAACTCTAACAGTTACAGTTATTAAGAATCAATTACAATTCAATATCTTAATCTATGAAGTTTATTTATTTATTTATTTAAATTACCTATGAAGTAACACGGTACTTAATACCATACAAACATCTGGATTCACCATTGCCTTCTATTTAATAATAATATTTATAAAGCTAATTCTGAAAATATTCTAAAATATGCTAAAATAGCGTCCTTTATAAATCAGTCGAGATTACGCCTCAATCTAATAAAATCATCGTAATTTTCGTGTTATATAAAATTTAAAATTGGAAAATGTACTCACGTGAAAAGCGCCCCTTATCAATGGCCCCGCCTGTCCTACGTAAAGAGTAGACGCTGAATCGAAGACCAGTTCCAGGGGGTTCCTTCTTACCACCACTGTGTCAAATTCGTGGCAGTTCAGGTAAAGTGTCACGTTTTCCAAGGACACTTTCAAAGCGAACCTGAACAAATAGTAGGGTTATATTTTGACATTTCTGTCTGCCACACAATTGGACCCAGAATCTACTTTGCCACTATCTGACGGAGACTGTTATTGCCTAGCTTAAAATGACAAATACTAAACAACAGATAATTGAGGGTCCCCACCAAATGTAACTGGTGACTGAAATTGATTTTTAAGTAAATGGAAACTGATAACAGAGCATTAATGAGACCATACCGCTAGGCACCGACGTTCTGCTTATGCCATGCTATCCAGTTTGAATTGAGGCTTTGAGGTTAAATTGAGGTTGTAGTGTATATAGGGTCTGGTTACCGATCGCCAGCAGCCAAACATTGTGTTCGTCTGTGTTTATAGAAAAAGACTCACCTGCTCCACTTCTTAGCGAAGGTCGGTACTACAAATGAAGCAATTGTCTGCGAGAACGCATAAATGTTAGCATCAGTATACAGTAGGGATATGTTCATCAGTCCTGGTCCTGAAGGTATCAACTGAACTCCCAGCTGAACCACAGTCTCCAGAGGATTGACAACGGAGAACAAGAATCCGCCATCTTTATTAGCTGGTCGTACTGTTGCTGTTATCGAAAATTCGGAGTAAAGCTTCTCTGGCATGAATAGTCGATATGGCGATTTTATATCGGACCCTGGCATTAGGCCATAAGCAGGAAATCCGTCTAGACCCTCGTCGAAATATTGGGTCTTTGGGTTGCTGAAGGGCACTCCGATTGCGTGTAGTAGATCGTATTCTGGTATATCTGTAAGAAGAAATAGATGGCTTAAACTTTGAACTAACACATTTTTAACGCACTAGGTGTATAGACAATCAAGCCGCCCATCTGGCGCTAAGTGGTTGCTGGAGCCCATAAATACCATCACGTGAATAACGCGACCCGCCTTGAAACATGCCATACCAGATTTTAAACATTAAATTAATACCACATGAAATAAGTCATGAGTTTTTACAGTTTTGATGGCTAGGGGCCAGGGGCTTCAATAATCACTTTACACCAGCTAGGTGGAGAGCTCGTTTGCCAATTTAAGCAGTACATAGATTCAGTGACCATTTCATTATTAAGATTACTAGGTATTAAAATGTTTTTTTTTTTGCTTATGGTTGGATGCTGGGATGAGCTCACGCTCCACTCCACCCGGCGTTAAGTTTTTACCCTGGTTTGAAATGTCTTAGACGAGTGACCGTATTCAAGTTGTCATGTTTGTTGTGTTGGGTTGGGTCGTGATCTAGTTCAGCAAACTTTTTTTTTTATTGTTTTGATGGATGGACGAGCTCACAGCCCACCTGTTGTTAAGGAGCCCATAGACATCTACAACGTAAATGCGCCACCCACCTCGAGATATAAGTTCTAAGGTCTCAGTATAGTTACAACGGCTACCCCACCCTTCGAACCGAAACGCATTACTGCTTCACAGCGGAAATAGGCGGGTGGTACTTACCCGTGCGGACTCCCAAGAGGTCCTACCACCAGTGATTACGCAAATTATAATTTTGCGGGTTTGACTTTTATTACACGATGTTATTCCTTCACCGTGGAAGTCAATCGTGAACATTTGTTGAGTACGTATTTCATTAGAAAAATTGGTACCCGCCTGCGGGATTCGAACATCGGTGCATCGCTACAAACGAATGCACCGGACGTCTTACCCTTTTTTAGGCCACGACGAATTCAATATGATATTTAACAAAATAATATTACATTTCAATTTGTTTCGAAATAAGCCAATTATGAATCATTGAGAGCTTATTAGTTTCCATAAAAATAACAAATTCACAATTTTGATACCTTAAAAATGAAGTATACATTTGTTAATGCGGACTGACATAATATGACAATAGTTTTCCACAGCGTCTGAATGCTAGATTGTTGAATGTTGGTCTCTACCATTTTATTTTGAGCTTAGACTAATGTTGCCGTTGGACTGTCAGTTTTAAGTCTACTAGTGTTCCCGCAGTAGTCGAAATTCGACTATAATTACCTAATTGAAATTATAAGTTTGAACATTATTATGGTTCTATTGTCAAAGACTATTATAATTTTATAATCACAGATTATGCCAAGTCTATAGTATACACAAATAATATTAAAGATAAACTATATTAACCAATTCTCAATTTCACCACAGACTTTAAGCAATAACAAAAGTTTAACAAAAAACAAAAGGGTAATACATAATATGTTTGTGTGTCAAATACATGGTAGGGTGTGTAATGTTTTTTTTTTATCGATTTAAGGTATTACCAAAGCATAATTAAAAAATAAATTAGCATTCTGCGCTCCTTCTCTATATTCTCTTTATGTGTGGGAAATTTCATACTCCTCCGTCCGCGCAATTTTCGTAAAAAGGGGTGCAAAATTTTTGCACCCTTTTTTAATTATTATGCAATTATTAATATATAGATTTAATTATTATGCAATTATTAATATATAGATATGACTATAAAGAAAATCAATGGAACAAATAAGTTTCCGTTGTTCACACAAAAAGTCTATTTAAATTATCGTTTTAGGCTCATTATTTTCACGTAAATAAAGCACCGTACGTACATCTGGCCAATAAATAGCGGAAACTGTACCGGCAACTGAAACGCGCTTCGTACAAATTGTTTGCGTCGCGAGACAATTAACGCCCGGCAATTTTCTCCTCTTTGTACAGTAAATGGGGCTGTTAAAGCGAATGCGGTTCTCGGAGTTGGGACGGGCGCTGCTAACGGACCTAAGGGCGCTTTCTGACGTGCCATTAATTATTTTTATTTTTATTTTTTATTGCCCTTGTAGGCAGACGAGCATACGGCCCACCTGATGGTGAGTGGTTACCGTCGCCCATGGACTTCAGCAATGCCAGGGGCAGAGCCAAGCCGTTGCCTACCGCTTAGTACTCTCCACAAGCCTCGTTTGAAGAAGGACGTGTCATAGCGCTCGGGAAACGCCGCGGAGGGGAGCTCATACCGGATGGTACGTGGCAAAAAATACCTCTGGAAACGCACTGTCGAAGAACGCAGCGGTTCCAGATAATATGGATGAGCTCTGCTCCGATGGTGGGAGGTGCGGTGATAAAAAGGAGATGAGGGGATCATCTCAAACAATTCCTCAGAGCATTCCCCATGGAACATACGGTGCAAAATACAGAGGGAACCGAAGTCCCTCCGCAGACACAGAGGTTCCAAACGATCCGTGAGGATAGCATTATCGACAATCCGAACGGCCCTCTTCTGTATGGAGTCAAATGGAAGAAGCTGGTATTTGGGAGCCCCGGCCCAGAGATGGGAACAGTACTCCAAGCGACGCCGGACTTGTGCTTGTGTTTCAAGGGTATTCAAAAACTTGTTATAATTTTGATATAGTTAGGACGAATTTTAAGCATGTTTAGTTACTACACATGGACCATAAAAGCAGCTGACCGAAACAGACTTGATGCTTTTGAAATGTGGTGCTGGCGCCGCCTATTAAGGATTCCATGGACAGCCCACCGCACGAACATCTCGGTCCTACATCAGCTTAAAATGGAGAACGCTCAACGCCTGTCTGCCACATGTCTGCAACGCATAATGCGCTACTTTGGCCACGTTGCCCGCAGAGGTGTAGACAACTTGGAACGTCTGATGGTCACTGNCGCTACTTTGGCCACGTTGCCCGCAGAGGTGTAGACAACTTGGAACGTCTGATGGTCACTGGGAAAGTAGAAGGAAAACGTCCTAGAGGCCGGAGCCCCAAACGTTGGTCCGACCAGATCTCCGAGCAAACCAGCGGACCACTTAGCGCTGCACTACACCAGGCAACTGACCGGAACCGATGGAGGCTAACAGTCGACAAGCTAAAGCGGAGCCACGATCCTCAACAATGAGGGAGCGATGGAGAAGAAGAAGAAGTTACTACCACTCTACCTGTTTCTATTGTATAGCAGTTTACATTCCAATTTGAAGGTCAGGACGCTACGCTATCATTAAAGAAATAAACCAATCTCGTACAATATGAAAGAGCCTTAACAGGGTTTATGAACGATTTATTATTCGTCGGATATTTTAAGCTTGTGACAGTGTTCGAATGAAACAGTCATATGCTTTTCAATAGGAAAATACGTATATTGTCTATATATAGTAAAAAAAAGGGCCAGGCAAATGTCGAAGTTTTCAAAATTGACAGCCCTGCAGGCTATTTATTGTTAATGCTGTTGTGTTTGAGAATAAGAATTGTGTATTAACAACACACTTGATACCTTCTCTACATTTGATGAAAATCTGTCATTTGTTTTAAGTTGAAAGCTATGACACGCATATTTAAATACAGCTGATATTTTGATTATATCGAGCAGGCAGTTAGGTTTTGTTTTGTGATGTCTATCAATGCTTAAGCCCGGATTTTCCATGAGCTGGTCGTTAGGGCTTATGTAAGCAAAATGCGGGGACACTTTAGTAAATTTATTTAACGCTGGACAGTAATTGGTGGGTCAAATAGCAAAGACGTTAGTATTCACATTATGTTTTTTTTTTATTGCTTTGATGTGTGGACGAACTCACAGCCAACCTGGTGTTAAATGGTTACTGGAGCCCATAGACATCTACAAAGTAAATGCGCCACTCACCTTGAGATATAAGTTCTGAGGTCTCAGTATAGTTACAACGGCTGCCCCACCCTTCAAACCGAAACGCATTAGTACTTCACGGCAGAAATAGGCGGGGCGGTGGTACCTACCCGCCTGCGGAATACGAACACCGGTGCATCGCTCGATACGAATGCAGCGGACGTCTTATCCTTTAGGCCACGACGACTACAATTATATTATTTTAAATTTAGACAGCGGATCGGATGTCCGTGAGTATTGGTGATCATATCCCATGAGGCGGACTGTGTTATTTAATCGTTATCTCTCAATTATTCTACATATGAAAATTCCAAAATAAACCATTAAATTGAACAATAAAATACGCATCATAACAATTAAACTTATCGTGCAGGTATTTTGTACCGCTAGGTGCATCGTAAAGTCGATACGCCTCAGCGGGGCATCCAGAATAATTAATTTAACGACTCTCGATTATCATCGAATAAAAGATTTAATTGAATTAAGTATTGTTTTCGGAGAACTTGTGTCTGAACCTTGATAGTGGAATTGTCTTCAAAGGTTATCGTGCGGTTGATATCTGATCAGTTTGTAGTCGCTTACGGATTCTTTCTTCTTTAAGCCATGTTTTAAAAAAAAAACTTATCACAGCACTTAATAATCATTAAAAACAGTATTTAATTTCAAACGGAAATCAAAATTCGTAGACTCAGAGAATCCAGAGAGCTCCAAACGATCTGTAAGATCAGAATTATCGACATGGTTTTGTTGAGTAAAACGAGTAAGAGGTGTATTTCTAACCAATAGTTTTTGCTTTTTTTGTGCCTAAACGGCTTGTCTGTTGATAGGAAGACATCGGCAAATAGCACCTTTAAATATATTTCAATAATATTAATACTTATTACGAGCGTATAGAGACGAGCTAACGATTTTGGAGTATCGTGGCCTAACCTGCAAGATTCCCTATGTATTCGTTCGAATCCATAGCAGGTACAGTTGACGTTTGACATTATTAGCGTAGTCTCAGGTTCTAGGACATTTTGTGAGCATTTTTTTGGGCGAGGGACCGAACTTCCTGCGAGGTTACCGCGCCTAATATGTGCTAGTTGCAGCTTACTGCCTCAGGGCAGAAATAGGCAAGATGGTGATACCTACCCGTGTGAGTTCAAAAGAATTGATTGAGAAGACCAGGAAAAATTTGATGGTGGCGACATTCACGTTATGTACAAAGCCAGCTTCAGTAACCATTTTTCATATCAAGAATAGCTCAAAAACAAAAAGATAAAACAACATCTACCTATAAAAGGCTCACCATTTTGATACATCGATGAGCCAAAGAGTCCGTCGGTTGCGAGGCAAGCAGTTACAAGCAGCAGAAGAGGTAGACTTATGTATCTGTAACAAAATAAGGAAAACATGTTAGGTGTTTTTGCGGTTTTTTTATTGCCACATTATTATCACATAAATTATTTTCTTAGGGACGACATTGAAAATTAACGGATTTTTTAATTATTAGTTGAATTATGGATGAATGAATGGTAAAATATTATAATATCTTGCACGGCATTAAAATTCGCATGTCAAATTTAATAATGACAAAGCATACACGCTGCTTTTAATTTATGTAATAACTCATGCTTAGCGAATAAATGATTTCTTTCTTTCTTTATTCCTTTCTTTCTTTCCGCTCTAGATAAATAGATTACATATCCAGAAGTGAGTGGTTATCGTCTTTCAAGATTGTCAGCAAAGGTAAAAGCGCTGCACAGTCCTTTTTATCTATGAAAATCTGTACTAGTATGTACATCATAAATCCCGTCCGCGCGTAGCTGAAATAGCCCCTTAGGCTACCAACAAATAGTTAGGAAACAAAATAAACGAGAAAACACCTTCAAGCCACACCGAATACAGTGCGAAAGAGAGAAAAGCGAAGTGAAAATACTCATTTATAAAGTTGAAACTGTTCTTTTTGTTTAGCTTGCTTTCTTTTTGTTTCTTCTCTCAAATTCGAAACTATGTACTAGTTCATTTTCCGATTTAATTAAAAACATATAAGACAATACCGTAATCATTGCTTTTAATATATGTATTTCTCTTATGGTTGTTTTTGTTACATATCTGAAAATCCCGTAAATATGGTCGGGGTTAAATTAATCCCTTGACTAGCATGTAGGTCACCGGTGTCCTACACGGTGGTGAAAGGATTAGTATAAACATCAATTTATGAATTGAAAACAAAACAGAAACATATCAGCCGTAGGTAGATCCGGATCGCATAGTATAAAATGTTATCTAGTATCATTATCGAGGGAGGAAACAAAGGAATAAAGTAAAAAGGAAAGCAGTAAAAGGAAAAAAAATTCTATATGAGCTAAATTTGAAGACGACCGTCAAACAATGACACTCATGCTTCTACCTATTCCGACTGTTAGCATCGATGTTATTATTATAGGCTCATGTCACTACTTAACATCAAATGGGTAAGTCGATCATCTGTTTTTTTCCCCTACCTATGCTGATAGCCTCGAGAGGCTATTTCAGCTTCTCCTTGACGTGTAGGTGAGCTCACGGGGCTCAAGCCGGGAGTTTCGCTAACACTGGTCCTAGAAAGAGTGCAGTGCTTCGCAGAATCTACCACTGGATCGGAAACGCGATCTACTGAGAAGATCTGACGAGAAACTCAGTGGGCTGTTTCTATGGGTTAATTCACTCGTCGAGCCCTTTGTCGCAAGCGACGGGTTCGACGAGGACGGTGACCGGTGCTTGAGGTACCTAAATGCACCGATAATGGATCGGAAGGATTCGTAATGACGTGTTTAGGGCGACGTCGACTGTTTACCATTCGGTCCACCGGATCGGGTATGGTATCATCTGTATAGCACGATTGGTCAATGCAAGAGAAATATCGAGAAACCTTAAACCCACCATGGACCCACTTCAATATACACAAATATTATTTAGATTTATGTGCCTATAATCTATAAATACTGATTGCTTCGTTAATCAACACAGCAATTACTATTTTCATTAAAAAAAAGTGTGTGTGTCCGCTCCGACGCACGACTGGAGTTTACTGGATATAAAAAATTAAACGAAACAATACGAGAAATAGTTCTATATTACGACAACACGATACACTACAGATTATTAACAAATTAACGAGACACAAAACAAACGACTAACAAATATATGAAAATACAATAATGAGAGAAACGCGCGATCAGTACGAGGCTTTGTGGCGGACTGCCGGCGCAGCAGCCCGGCGTCACCTGCGATGACGCATTTCGTGTGACATGCGCAATCAGGCGCATAACGCATTTCGTGTGACATGCTAGTACGATTTTGGTCCCCATAATTTTCATACCCCGGGCCTATATATGTAAATCGATTCTAAAGGAGTAAACTCCAAAAATATATTAAATGCTTTCGGATACATTTAGAACAACTAGTGGTCCCGCAGTAGTCGAAATTCGACTATAATTAATTGGAATTGTAAGTTTGTACACTATTATGATTGTATTTTATACTTCTATAATCACAACTTTCGCCAAGGCTACACTATAAAGAAATATTAATACAGACAAACAATATTTAATCTATTCTCAATTTGACCACAGACGTCAAGAACAAAAGTTTGACAATAAATAGTATGCATGCGTGTGTACGTCAAATACATGGTATGTAGTGTCTGTAATGTTTTCTTTATTGATTTAATGTATCTTTTATGCAATATTTTAAAAAAATATTAGCATTGTGCACTCGTTCTCTATATTCTCTATAAGTGAGGGAAATTTCATACTCCTCCGTCCGCGCAATTTTCGTAACAAGGGATACAAAGTTTTTGCTTCACGTATTAATATATAGAATGTATAAAATTTAATGTCATGAGCTATATACAATATTGATTACCACTAATAAAACTCGACGACCCAATAATTATTTTCAAAGTAACATTCTACTATGTCAATCAGTCTATTCATTTACCTTTGATTAAGTTCGTAACGAAGTTTTTATACAGCTTGTATTTCACTCTTAGCTTTGTAATTACTAAACTCATTAGTGGATTGAAAATACTCATAATATTTTTTCATATTTTTGTTCGTTTGGAGTTGCTATGTTGCCTTGTGTCCGAAGACGGTAATGATCGTGTTACGATGTCAACGTGCTCCAGTGACTGCTTACGAACAAGGGGACCGTGAGTTCATCCACATATTTCGTCGAAAAAAAAAATAGCACTAATTCTTAAGATTTTAAGAAATACAGTAATAATGTCTTGAGAAACGTTCTTCAACACCCATTTCCTACGATTAATTAAATTGGAATACCTGAACAATCGTATGGTATGCATACATCTACTCAACCTAATGTCAAGGACACTCAATCAAACTAACACCGTGATATAAGCTACTTAATAAGCAGATTACGAGGTCACGCAAAACGATATTTCCGTCCTGCTCATGCCGTGAAACTGAGATAACAATATTTATACTCCAATTAAGGCTTCGGTTTCATTGTTTCAAGATGATATTCAAGGTGAGTATCAGGACATTTACACGATGACCTGGAGCTCGACCCCGTCAGTAAGTATCTACAGTCGGCATCGCTGCGACACTTTGAGAAGACGGCACGACATGAGAACCCTCTTGTCGTGGCCGCTGGAAACTACATACCCGATCCTGTTGACCGAATGGTAAACCGTCGACGTTGCCAAAGCACGTCATTACGGATCCTCCTGATCCATTAACGGTGCTTTTAGGCACTACAAGCACCGGTCACCGTCCTCGTCGAACCCGTCGCTTGCGACGAAGGGCTCGACGAGCGAATTAACCCACAGACACAGCCCACTGAGTTTCTCGCCGGATCTTCTGAGTGGGTCGCGTTTCCGACCCGGTGTTAGATTCTGCGAAGCACTGCTCTTGCTAGGGTCAGTGTTAGCAACTCTCCGGTTTGAGCCCCGTGAGCTCACCTACACACGCTAGGGTAAGCTGAAATAGCCTCTCAAGGCTATCAGCATAGGTATGGAAAAAAAGGACTTATATGGACATTTAAGGACTTTAGTTCATTTTCGATTTTCTCGAGTGGTAACTGAATGTAGCGTTTTTTATTGTGATTAAATTACTTTTGACATTTCGAATACATATTATTATACAGCTTCTTACCTTATAGTCGTTACGAACGATCAAGGTGTTATTCCTTGACATTTGATACTGTTACGCCGGTAAGAGCAACGCCATCTATCGCCGAATAGCCGAAACGAATATCAAAGGAAGTCGTAACGTCGAGAAAGCTCTAGAAGTACAACGCCATTTATTGCCAGATAGCGGAAACACATATCTAGTTAAATCTAGGGATATCGACTAAAATCGTACCGTATCGACTATAAAAGCATTGCAGATATGGCACGCAGTCAGTCAGTAATCGGAACTACTCGAAGCGAAACAGCGAACGGATCACCTCAAGCGAAGCGGAAAAAGTGAATTGAGAAATTTAAAGTGCTGATTAAAGGTTTTGAGCGCTTTAAGTGTGAATACAGTGTTAATTTATACTTCGGTAGAATTTTTATTTACCCAAACCCCAGCGCGTAACAATACACTTAAACCGTAATCACTTAAATTCTATGTATCATCAATCTATGGAAGTGCATCCAGTTGAATAAGTCTACCTTATGGGTAAAAGTAAAATGTCATAAACATTAAGTAGGTACATAGCATCGTTTTTATTTTAGAAACAAAGTGCTTGCGTTGTTTTGTTTTCGAAGTTATAAAACATGTTAATTAATACGCCGTATTACTTCTCACCTTATAAAGCACTTAAATGAGAATCACAGGGCCATATGGCAGCAATAAAGTTCTTAATGAGCTTTTGAAGTAACCGAGCAAGTCTATAAAAGACAATTATAAGTCATATACATAATGACCATGACAAATCTAGACTTCATATCATTAGCTCGCAAAAAATATTTTACTAAATGTATTTATTATTTTACTAATTATATTTCTTGTCTTATATTATTTACTACTTAATTATCGATANCGCTGGCTCATCAGGCTCCCGAGAGCCAATCCCTCATCCCCAGAATGGCACCCTTTGCCAGTGCAAAGGGCGTGGAGAGGGTCCCTCGCTCTCTCTTAAGGTAGCCCCCGCAGAATGCAGAGGCGTCCGAGGAGAGCTGGGTGCAGTTCTCTTTGTCGCGGCGTCCCACACAGATTCCTCTGCACGCGATTTTAGGGACGCACGCTTAAGCCCCACCGCCACGACAAGGCGGAACTGCATTCGGTGGGGCAGTTAGGGGCTATCTATCATTTTAGGCTAGTTAATAATGCGTCATGTTCGAAAAAAAACAAAACTATCAAATAGCTCTTTTTTTTCATGTTCTTACGAACGCTGTAGGTCAC